CCCCCCCGTCCCTAGGGCGTGGTTTGAAGGTGAGAGGCCTCTGCTCCACATGCCACCGCTTCTCTCTCAGGCCTCTTCCCCGTCCCTGGGCACCTCGGAGTCCTGCCCCATCCCTGGGTCTCAGAAGCTTGTCCCCCTTCCCACTACACACACACATGCACGCACGCGCACACACAGACACGCCCCCCCACGCATGCCCGCACACACACATGCACACATGCACACGGATTTGTTTCATTTTGCGCGGGGCTGCCCCGCTGCAGCGCGTCTGATAATTCCTGCTCGGCCCTCGCATCCATGCCTCCGTGCCCTCCTCCAGGCTGCCTTTCTTCCCTCTCCAGCCTCCCTCCATGCCGCCACCGCTGCTCCTATCCCCTCCTGAATCCCAGATGCTACTGGGAATGAGCATCCCAGGCCTTCCTTGTGCAGACTTCCCCTGCTCAGCTCCCGGGAACGCCTTCTTCCCGTTGGCCACCGTGGCTGCCTCTGGTTTCTGCTCCTCCTCAAGCCCGAGTCCCGTGTGCCCAGATGAGCACGTCTGCTCCCTCTGGTGCTCCAACTCGCAACCCAGCCTCTGCCTCCCCTCCACTCAGACCGGACCGCAGCGTCGTCAGCTAACAAAGGCTGGTCACTTGCTGGTCTGGAACGTACAGCTCCTTCCTCCCTCCCTGGCACCAGGCACTTCCCACATAAGGGCCATGCAGCTTGTGCCTTCTGTCTCCTCCCATGTGGTTAGGCCGTCCTGGGCCTCTGTTCTGCTGGGAGCTGCAGGTACAGAGGCAAATACAGGGCCTGTCACTGCCCCCAGCGAGGGCATGTCTGGGGCAGGCCAGGACTAAACCATCCAGGGTACTTCACTCCGGGCCTGCCTCTCCCTTACATCTGGTTTCATTTTTCTTTTCCCTGAAGGACAGTGTGGCTGCTGCTGGCTGCAGGGGAGTTGCTGGAAGGATCTTGGGGAGCAAATGTTGGGAATGTGGCTCTTCCTCAGTGCCCTCCCTCAGACCTGCATCCTGTGCCCCCTGATCCTCACCTGGCGTTCGCTCGTTTCCATTTGTTTCAGATGGGCAGCCGTGGGCAGCCTGTATTCTTGCCGCCTTAGCCATAACATCCTTGGGTACAGCTGATGGGACTCCAGGGCCACTGAGTTTAGCCATTGCTCCTCACAGCCTGTCCGCCATCTCCCACCTTTCCTGGGTGTGCTGCAGGCACTGGTGCCCTGGTGGGCTGCGTCAACACTTTTGGCAGGGGACGGGGAAGGCATCCTGAAGGAAGCATCGTTAGAGACGAGCCTTGAAGAAGTATGAGTTCTGTAAGGAAAGAAGCAACGGAGCCAGGAGTCAGAATGCCCAGCCCCGCAGAGGGTGGCCATGGGTGTGAAAGGCACTCGGTGACAGCTGTGCAAGTGAAGTGTACACAGGGCTGCTGCCACAGGAGCAGCAGGTGGAAGGCCGACTGTCCTGTAGACAGAGGAAAGAGACACACGCACTCCCCAAGGCTGTCCTGAGGCCAAGTGAGCTAAGCTTTGTTAAGGGGGAAGGAAACACGGGATCCTAGCTGCTATTTTTATTTGAAAATTGGGGTTCTCTGTGCAAAATGGGGGCTTTGGGACCAGCCTTGTTACCCCCAGTGAGTGGGGCTTAAAGGACAGAGCAGGCTGGCCTCGTTGGCTGCCCAGACTGTGAAGGGGCACTCCTGACCCTGCCTGCTGCAGAGGAGGGCCCAGGTTGGGACTGAAACTGCCCTCCCATGGCCAAGTGCACTCTGCACACACCATTCCAGGCCTTCCCGTCCCTCCCACCCCATCCTGGGATTGCTTATGCTCCACCCAGTGAGTACACAGGCCAAAGGCATGCAGGTCAAAGAGGCGTGCAGAAGACGCCTGATCAGAGCAGGCAGGCCTTCCCAGCTTGGCCAGTGTGTGATGGCCACGATCCCGGCACACCCAGACACCGCCCAGCCGGTGTCACTGTCTGTCCTTCCATAATCCCTGACTGCCTCCGTCTGTCCCTGTCGGCCTCCTGGTCCTGACAGCGGCCAGACTCCATTTTTGGCTGCAGATTCCATTATGTTGTCATGAACCAGCGGGTGCTTCAGAACAACTAGGACTGGTCTGTACTGTGATAAGACGCACCACATCTGCCCTCCATGCGAGGGGCAGAGTCAGGGCTAAGTGGCTGCTCAGACCTCTCTGCTTCTCCCCCTTCCCTCTTGGTGGTAGCAATGGGGCCTTCCAGGCATCTGTGTCCTGACTGCCTGATGCCTAATGCACATATTATGCCTGCTCAGTGCACACCACGCCCACAGGTAGGCCCCCCACGCAGCTGGCCTTCTCTTACTCCCTTCACAAGAGAACCACTCCACTAGCGGTAGGAAAGCGAGGGCTGTCCTTGGCCGAGCAGGGGTGGCCCATGACATTGGAGGAAAGCCCCAAATCCCATCCCCGTGATGCCCCCGCCCCCCTGCGCTGCACGGCCGGCCCCCAGAGGAGCTAGGGCTGGGAGGGGAGGGGAGAGGAGAGGAAGGGCGGGCAGCAGGCGGCACCATCTGCGGCTGTCCTTTGTGCTGGCAGCCAAGCCATCCCTCCGTCACTGCAATCCGCGGGCCTCGTGCCTGGCGTGCAAATGAGTTTCCAGATGCCCAGTTCCCCCGCACAAGAAGCAGTAACTAGGGCCTGGGAGAAGAATGGAATGATCTGGAAACTCATTTCTGTTTGTTCCAGCCTCTCAGGATAGGCTGCTGCCCTCCAGCCACAGCAGATATGTGCTGGGCATCCACTGCAGGGGTTTGCCAGTGTCTGGGCAGACACACACGAAGGGAGGGCCGCTACTCTCCCACACCCTCTTCCCATTATGGGTGTGGCAGGGTGACTCCACAGAGAGGGGCAAGATGCACCTTTCAAGACTCAGCCCATCCACTGGCTCCCTCCTGGAGGGAGAAACAGGTGCCCTCTTGGGGGTGACAGCCCTGCTTGTCTCCTTGGTTGGGCATCTTTGTGCCCCACATGAGCCAAGCAAATATATCCAGTAGTCATGCATGACCCCTTGGGGCTTTGGGCTGACGTTCAGCATCTGGGCATCTTCCCATAGTGACCGCCAAACATGGTGAAGGGGGTGACTCAGAAGAGGTCAGAGGGGCTGGGGGACCATGGTCACTTACAGTTCATCTCCTCCCCCACCTTCTGGGCCAGCCTCAGGCTCCATCACCAGAGCATGGGGCCAGGGGCAAGAGCACTGTCTTCGTTTCTGCCACTGAGGCTGTGGTTACTGTGAGCGAGTGACTTCACCTGCCACAGCATCAGTCTGCTCGTCTGTAGAGTGGGAATAATAACAACTAATGTCCTGGATTGTGCAGGGTAGATGCAAGAAAGGATGCAGAAGCACGCTGTGCTGTGTCCACAGGGGACCCTTGAAATGAAGTGGTGGGCTTTGCATCTAGTCAATGGCTGAACAGGTCTTGCCACTGTGACTGGGTTGGCTCCTTCCAGAGCAGTGAGGCTGCAGTGGTCACAGCAGGAGTGGGATGCTGGCTGTGGTGTGGTCACTTTGGTGTTGCTGCACAGTCTGCACGGTTCTCCTGTCCACCCCTCCCCACAGCCCAGGAGGAAGGCAGGGCAAGAGTCATTACCCCTCATCACCTGCAAGCAAACTGAAGCCCAGAGAGGGTCCGTGAGCTCCTCAGAGTCACACAGCAAGGTGGTAACTGAGCCCAGCCTTCCTGACTCACCCCCAAACCTCAGCTCCGTTATGCACTTTGGAAGGACTGGCCAGCCTGGAGCCCAGGTCGAGACACACTGACGTTGAGGGTGCTTTTGGGCGCTGGTGCCCACATTGGGACAGTGAAGGATAAAAGGGCTCTTCTCCCAGCACTCAGTTGGTCTGAGGCTCTCTGAGTCTAGGTGTGGACAGCTGTCACCTGCTCCTGAGTTTGGTGCCCCTGGCAGTCTCTGGCTTCGCCCCCACCACCCCAGACCCCTTCTGCTCTGGAAATTGTTTGTCTTCCCAAGCGTTTGTGCCCGGCTGTCCAGGGTCCAGCTGTGGGTGTGACCCTCACCCACAGGGAGAAGCCACGTTGAGCTAACTGTTCAAAGGGCGAGGGGTGGGCTTCGCTGAGAAGTCTGGGGGGCAGCTGGCAGTTTCTCACCTCACCCTGGCACAGGGTCTGTGTTAGGCCCCCCTTGCCTCTGGTCTCCCTTTGACACCATCCCTGCCATCCCTTCATTGTCCTGATGCTCTTCTCTTGGCTGCGACTCCTTAGCGTGATGGCCGTTAAAAGTGGCCCTCCTCTGACCTACTCTTAACAGCAAAATCTTTAGAATTCTCTTTTGGGAGTGTTCACCCATTTCACAGTTGAGAACAGTGAGGCCTGTTGAGGAGGCTTAGTGAGTGTCCCGGCACTGCGTGATCTGGGGAGCAAAGCCGGCATCAGTAGCATCCAGTCCAGGGAGGGTGAGGTGGGGGCCGGGTGTGGCAGGGCGCGGTGGCCGAGGCGCCCACTGACCGTGCCCTTCTCGTTGCAGCCCTGCTGTCGTCCTGGTGTGAGGAGCTCGGCCGCCTGCTGCTGCTCCGACATCAGAAGAGCCGCCAGAACGACCCCCCTGGGAAACTCCCCATGCAGCCCCCCCTCAACTCCATGAGCTCCATGAAACCCACTCTGTCGCACAGGTGAGTGGGCACACGCCTCCAGGGGGCGGGCCCAGGCTGCTTGGGTGGGCACTGAGCAGCCACTCCGTGGGCCCTCATGTCTCCAGTGAAGCGCCCCTGAGGTGGAAGAACTGGGGTGGAGGCCTCTGAGCAGCCATAAGGATATTACATTTTCTAAAATGCAGTTTTTAAATCCTCATGGTGAACTCTGTTTCTTCCCCATCTAAACATGTTGACAGCACCAGGTTTATGCAACCTGACGGCTTTGTCCCTTTGGTCGGGAGCTGTTTCTTTGTCAGGTTCTAGGCTTCTGGTGGAAAGTTAGAAATCCTGAACTCGGCCGGCCGGCCTGTGGCTCACTCAGGAGAGTGCGGTAATGATAACACCAAGGCCACGGGTTCGGATCCCACATAGGGATGGTCAGTTCGCTCACTGGCTGAGCGTGGTGCTGACAACACCAAGCCAAGGGTTAAGATCCCCTTACCGGTCATCTTTTAAAAAAATACAAAAAGAAATCCTGAACTCGGGGCCTTCTCTCTTTCCTGAGCAGGGTCTTGGCAAATCCAGGGACATGAGTGGCTGACAGGGTCTCATGAAGGCCACAGGGCTGGTGGTCCCACCTCCAAGTGAAGCTGGAGCCAGTGAGGCTGGGCTAGGTCCGCCAGAAGCCCAGGGGTACAGGCAGGACTGGGCTTGCTGGGGACAGCCAGACACCAAGACATCGGCCAGTCTGCCCCGTGCCAGCCTCAGGAGGAGCATGTGGTCAGGACTGGCAATTCCCTCAGTTAATTATCTCGCGAGTCCCTTGCTGAGCTGGGGATGCTCTCTCCAAGTGCTCAGCAGGCTGACCCTGGAACAGCAGGGCCTGTCATGCTGTCTGCCCTCCCTGTGCGTGTCCTCACTAATGACCAGGAGAGGCATTTGCAGTCAGAGCTCAGCTCTCATTATCCAGCCTGACTGAGGGGCCCGCAGCCCAGAGCACGCTGCAGGCAGACCCAGGTCACACCAAGGCACTGCCGAGAACATGGGTGTCAACCATGCTGTATAAATTGAATTAAAGGCTTGTTGACTCTTGGAACCAGAAAGGACCTTAGCACTCATTAAGTCCAGTGCCCTGCCTGGGCAGGATTGCCCCTGACATGTGGTTGCCTGCCTCGGTCAGAAGCACTGTGTGCCACAGCAAACCCACCACCTCCCAGAGTTGCTATCTCCCTGGACCCCGGGTCTGGTGGCTGACAGCTTCACATGCCTCCCTTCTGTGGCATGTTTCTCAGGGGGCTTGGCATTTACACAGGATAACTTTTCATGGTGCAGGACTTTGTAGGGCCCACTCTGTTCTTTAAATGACTGCCCCCACACCACCAAACATTGTAGCAGCAAAAGCACCCTCACTATTTGGGGAGGGGTTTCAGGGGTGTCATCCTTGGTTGAGTACCACTGCACTAGAGGCAAAACCTGCCTCCTCCTGCCTTCCACCCCTTACTCTTGGTTCAGCTGAAAGCCTCAGGTCATCTTCACCTGAACCCAGCCGCCGAGTACAGGTTGTAGCTGAATTTAACTTAAGTGACATACTTTGCAGTTGCCCTTGTGAAATTTGAGCTCATTAATTCTGGCCCAGCCATCCATCCCTCCAGAAATTGTCCTGCCTCCCATCATCCCACTGGTTATGCTCTTCCCAGCCTTCTGTCTTCCAAACCATTTCAGTAAAGTTGTTGCTGATGACAGGCCAGAGCCCTGCGGCTCCCCACTAGAGACCTGCTGCAGACCTGCTTGACCGAGATCATTCGAGCCACTGAGCACGACTGATCTGGACCACAGGCAGCCCTTTGCCAGGTCTTCGCTGAGTTGAGCGAAGGCACGAGATTGTTCGGTCCTAAGGTTGAGCAGCAATGAGGGTTGTCTGTGCCCAAGGAGCTGAATCCAGCTAGTTGGGGAAATAAGACTGATTGGGGCAAAAGTGGGAGCTGGCAGATCAAGGCAGTGTTAGGGTTAGCTGACAGGTCACCGGGCTGTGGGGTTCAGAAGGAGGAGGATAGGGAGGCTGCCTGGAAGAGGAGGGGTCTTGACCCTGAAGGACTTACGTTAAGAGTGGGCATGTGTGTTCTGTGAGTTCAAACTGGCTTTCCTAAGAAATGCTGTGGCCCAAAGAGCCACTGGTCAGCAGCCAGTGCCCTCCTGCGTCTGCAACTGCCATGGGTCGGCTCCTTGTAGAGCCAGAAAATGAGTGAATGCCAAGCAGGTGGTCTGAGGCTTGAAGGCCAGTCTGGCTTTTATTCTTTGGGCCTTAGGTGGTCTGTCAGAGAAGGGAGAGCTGTGTGGGCTGGAAGACTTTCTAAGTATAGGTGGACAACCCATCAGTTGCATGGAACGACGCCCCCCCACCAGGAGCACAGTGAGGTGGTGGGCTTTCTGGGTAGTACCACATTCCCTGCACTGGGAATGGCAGAACTGTGAGGGAAAAGGTCCAGAGTGGGAAAGGGACTTGCCCAAGAACACAGCCAATAAGGGGCACAGGGGGGCGTTAAACAACGCACGGTGCTCTGGTGCCCACCCTGCTGCTGTTCGAGATCAGTGAGGTGGTGTCTGTTTGTTAACCCGATTTGGAGGGTCTTTTTGGAAGAGGGTCATCCACCGTTCTGACCCATAGCTTACCCGGTTTCCCGTTTTATAGTGGGACAGTTGAGACCCGAAAGAAGCATCATAGGTTGAAGGAGGGTCGGTGTCTAAGTCCCTTCCCTACGCCCAGGGCTGTTCCGAGGACGCGGTGTAGCTGAATGATTATACGTTAGCTGGTCTCTCCTTGTAATCTTCCTGAATTTCTCCAAGAGAGAAACCCCTCATTTCCAGGGAAACTCCAATGGGCTCCATCAGCTTTTAAGTCCCTAACGTAATTCCCCAAACCAGAAGGAAAGAAAATGGAAGAGAAAGTCGAGAATTTTCACAGTCAGGAAGCTGCTTGAATCCGTCCTCGTCAGCATTTCTGTAGCTTGGACATCAGTCACGCCCACTGCAGGCCAGGGAGGTTCCGTGCCACAGCTTGAGGCTGCGAGTCCGAGCCTGAGCTCTTCCATCCAGGGCTGTGCCTCCAAACAAGGCCTTTGACCTCGCTGAGCCCCATGGTGGTTCCCTGCCCATGGGGACGTAACGATGCTCAGTACCAGGAGCAGGATGTCAGAGAAGGGTCAGGCCATCAGAGCCCACTGCTGTTTCTGAGGGTAACTCTGCTTATGAGGAGCAGTGATTATCCACAGTTTGTCAAAGTCTTTACACTCACACCATGTTCTGTCCTCGCCCCTGGCCATAAGCAGTGCTGTCCTCTGTGCTTACAGAAGGTGTCCAGAAAGCTACACAAGAGCAGGGAGGCCTGGCGAGGTCCCAGGCAAGGGCCCGATCAGTGGAACACTTTCCAGGTCCCTGTAGTGACCTGGACTTGATGCCAACTAAGTATTTCTGCCTTCTTTTCCCAGACTTTTAATGAGTGGTTAAAAAAGCAATTTGTGATTAGCACATTGTCTGTATACAAATCAGTGTAACAAAGGTAATTAAGAGCCTAATAAATCTTGTTTATGCTGTTAATTTGACTACAATCAAAGCTGGCTAGAACTGGGAAAGACTCCAGATCAAGGGGTGCCACCCTTCTTCTTCTGGGTGCAAGATTTGCAGCCCCCAGAGGAGATGTTCCTGGGCAGGAGGGATTCCCTGGTGTCCCCCGGGTGTAGCAGATGGGGCACAGGCCGGGGATCCAGGCTGCCAGGACCCAAGTTTCGGCTCTGCTATCTTCCAGCTGAGTGACTTTTGTGCAGTGACTTAACCTCTCTGTGCCATAGTTTTCTCCTCGAGAAGGGGACTAACAGCTGTGGCAGGGCTTACATGTTTGTCGCCATGCCTGGCACCCAGGGAGCCCCACGGACCTGTGGTTATTTCCCCGACCCTCCGCTGGTGCCATCAGACTGTTGTGCTCACTCGTGGTCAACCAACAAGAAGGGGCCCATCAGAAGTGACCCCCAGGCTTCTCCTATCCTTGCTCACTTCACGTCATCTTCACAGCTGTCATTTTTAGCTCTTTTTTGCATAGCTGTACCAAAGTGCAGTTTGTAGTAGGCCCTTCTTGCCCCCAGAAAATTAAGAAAGAAAGAAAGAAAGCAATGAAAGGGAGAATTGAAAGACCCATGAATCCCTGCTCCATTAGTTCCAGATTGCAAAGATGCAAGGATCTTTCTTCTTTCCTCCTTCCTATTGAAAAATTGTAACACCCTCTAACATGCAGTTAGCTGCACAAGTTTCTCTCTAAGTTTCACCGCAGGGAAGGAAGGAAGTAGGCCCCAGTAATTGTGATGATGGAGAACGCTGCTAATGGTTCCCTAAATTAAAGAGGGCGGGAGCTCCAGCTCCTCACTGGCTTGGCGTTTCATTAGTGGTAACACTACAGCTTTGCACAGAGACGGGATCAATATAGCCAGATCAGGGAAATTAATTAGGGTCTGACAAGACCCTTAATGAGAATTGGTTATTTCTTCCAAATAAAGCGGCTGTTCCAAGTGCAAGGGAAGAGATAGCCCAGCCCTCCCCACCTCTTCCTTCCAGGAATGTCTGTGTAGATGCTGCTGCCACAGGGGTGCCCAGGAGCCAGGAATCAGCACTTTCTCGTCCCAGGCCTGCTCATTTTCTCTCGTGCAGCAAACCTCCTCCAGTGTCTGTGGAGCTGGTACTCAGACATGTAAACCGTCTGCTGAAACCGCAGCATGAAGAGCCCTCTATAAAATATGTGAAAGTGTTGAGGGAACAGAGGAAGATGCCCTGGCTTCTGCCTAGGAGAGTCCTAAATGGGAGTATGCAGACTGGGCTTTGAAGCACAGGCAGGAGTTCACTAGCTGGAGAAGGGAAGGCAGAAGAACGCTAAGGAAGCCTCAGAGGCTTGGAAAGCACCTTCCTTCTAGTTGACAGGCAGGAGTGATAACAGTCCCTCCCATTGGTAGCATATTTGCAAACTTATAAGCACCTTCATTGTGTCGAGTAAATCC